GAAAGACAGAAGCACAGTGTAAAACCTGCATAGGCCAGGCTGCAAGAGCAGAATGCATGTAAAAAGTCCTTGTGCATTGCCCAGGCTCCACATAGCTCTGCCTAACTGTAGCTTTATTTTGGGTAGTCCCTCAGGCCACTTAAAAGTCTAACATTAATCAGTTCTTTACTTGGTAATTCTCAAGTTTCTTTCTCAAAGGAAGCTTTAGTCAGTAGTTTTATCTCTCAATTTTCTGTTTATTTTTGAGAGAAGTTTTGTAAAGATTCCACAAGTAATGTTTAGTCTGTTTGCAAAATCTTATATCAACATGCTTTTGAATTTGCCGTGTCATGTAGGGAGTCATAGCACACTGAGAGTTTCTTTAACTGCGAAAAGCAATATGGCTCTTGGCAGCTTTGCCTCCCCTTTTGTCTCTTTGTAAGCTGGAAAGCGGATTTATTTTGTTAAAGCCAAGAGAGTTACTTAAGGCCTGAGTAGGAGCTGCCGATTTTTGTTCCCTCTCTGTAGCCATTCCCATGACTGCTGGAGGAGTAGGACTTTGGAAAAATGTGGAATTAGTGCATCCTTATTAAGGTTATTAATGATTCTGACCCATGTTATCTTAACGAAAGTCCTGAATATTAACCTTATGACCTAAAGGGATTTCCTCTCATAAGTCGTCTGTTAATTATTTTTGGCTGCTATAAATATACCTTTGTATTTTGTGTTCTTGCTATAGATACCCATTTCTATTTAGCAAATTATAAAATTCAACTAATCCAAGGGAAAGGCATCTACAAAAGAGTATTTCAGAGTTAATGTGAATGAAGAATATTTGAAGTTCATAACTGCAATTTTGCTGTAACAAAGCAACTTAGAGCACGACAGAAATATTTTATTCAACTTTCAACAAGATTAGAGTAATTCAGGTCAAATACTCCCCTTCACAGTATATAGTCTGTGATGGAACATTGTCGGGAAACTGCACATACTTGCAAAAAAATGTGAAATATCTTGTGTCTGCCTGAATTTGTGTTTATAATAATGATTACTAATTCACTGCTGTGTTAAATGCTGTAGGTCAGGCTAGCTGAATTTTTATTCAGAAGAGTCTTGGCCTACAGTCAGCATTTTGGCTTCGTATATTCTGCCCTGTGTATGTTTTTTTTTGTCTTTTATTTCCTTTTTTTCTTTCCTACTCTTTGCTCTTTCCTATCTCTTCTTCCAACAAGATAAGTAACTAGTAACCTCTCTGGCCTCAGGTCCCAGTGCTGTGGTGTGGAGCTCTATTCACAAATCCCCAGACTTAGTCATGTCCTTGTTGTGTGTTTTCTTACTGGAATAAGGATGTAATAACATAGCTTGTTTAGCTTTTACTGGTTTTAACAGCAGGCGTAAGAAAGCTTTTCTTAATATTTTTTATATTAACAGTCCATTCTTAATAGCCTCTCATTCTCTACAAGACTAAAAATAGTTGTTGGAGTAAGCATCCTTCTGGATTGTATTTGTGGAATTGAACAAATGGTTGATATTACCAGCTGGTAACACATGACACCAGCATTAAAATGCTGGCATATATTAGCTATAAACCCACTTTGCAAGTGATCACTCTATTATGCTTTCATTGAGTATTCACATACTCTTTTCTGTTAAAATCTCTTATCACCTTTGATTCAATGCCAGAACTTTTTTAGCCTTTTTCTTGCTTACCCATTTTTAAAACGCAGCCTACAGCAGTAAGACTTAAAAAGTCCAGAGGCCTGAAGGCACTGTCACCCTTCAAACAGTATCAAAGCAACAAAATTACCCAAAGGCTCACCCCAAGCCTTCCCACCAGCTGATTTGTCCAGTCCTGCTGCCATTTGCAATTCAACTATGAGTTCACTGAAAGGGAACGTTTACTTTAAGTGTTATCGTTAGGCACATACAGAGACAAAAGTCAGATTTTGTAGACAAGCCATACATAGACAAATCCCTGTTCAAATTGTTTAGAATGTTTGAGGAATACCTCTTAACACTTGCTTTTCCTCTCAGTGTTTTACAGTTTTGTACACCCTGAAAGTAATACCTATGGTATATGTGGAAATACCAAATTTTGGCTAATTATTGTTGATGTGATCAGTTTCAAAGAGGTAGAAAACTAATATGGCATGTGGATATTCATTTTCATGATATTCATAGACAAGGGATTTTCTTCTGGATATATATGGCTGTGGATCTTTTGTTTAGATTGTGAGGCTGCTGTTCATACATCTGCAAATTTCAGCTGAGTGAGCAACGCTAGCCAAACTATGCTAGATCAAATCTCCAAACAAGGTGTTTTGGCATGAGGAGACATTTTATTACCAGGGTCAGGTTAGAATACTGTCTGCAGGACTAAGCTGTGCATCTTCATGTGATTCCCCTGTAATCATTGAATAACAATGTGTACTTACATGGACCCTCAAAGAGCTTAGTCCAACCCACTAGATGCTGTGCAGACCTACAATCACTCTTTTGGTCTCTCAGCATCACCCCATCTTTCCCCTTAATTTTCCTCCGGGTTTTTTTAAGCCATACCTTCGCTTGACTCTAAATGGAGTTTGCAGACTTCATGGCAGCTGGATGGGGCAGGATGGGATATCGAGCTGAATACACAAAACAGATAAAAACAGAGACTTGATAGGGACCCTCTTTTTGCCATCTCTTCCAGTTTATTTCCATATGCCTTCATGTGGAAGCACTGTCCAGTTTACCCCTTCAAAGAGCAATTTCTGATGTTATATCCAACCTTATAGCCATGGTTTTTCATGCTGCCACAGGGATGGAGCTCTAGCTTTTGAATTTTAATACAGTGGTGCTACTGTTTCTGCTGAGAGCTTTCTCTTGCAACATGCACTAAAAGGTCAAAAGTTAAAATAAATTTAAAATATGCTCAAGGGGAAATTCACCACACATACTTGACTGTCAGGGTTTGAGGATTTTTTCCCCCTTTTCTTAGTGCTGAAGCATATTAGAGATTTTTATGGTTTTGAGCATGGTCCAGCATTGATACTGTAGCTCTGGAGGAGTGCCAGCAGGGAGGCTTACAGAATATCAAGTTTTATACCATCTTATGTAATGTTTATGCGGGTGGGATATGACATATTGAAATTCAATTTATTGAAATTATTGACATTATATTCTTACTGCCCTGCTGCCAGTGGGATTGAAATGGCTATGTTTTGTGGTATTCTTGCTTGTACAGACATAGACACTCAGGGAAGTTAGGTTTGCATTAATGTTTTTGTCTTCTCCTGCACTTAGTTTCACTAGTGAACTGGTGCTATTATGCTAAATGCCTACACTGTGAAGCCATAGGCAAGTAAATAAATAAGGGAAAGGATCTTAATGCTTAAAAATAGTGACAATTTATTCAGGTTTGCATTGCTGGTTAAAGAACCTTCCTTTAGGCAGGGTATAGTTTCTTTTCAGAAAAGGCAGTATCTATTTCTCTCATTAATCCTTTCATTGCAGAACTCATGTTACAACAATGCACAGAAACCGCTCTGCATGAGCTATGTCTTTTTGATTTTATCAGTCTAATTCAATCAGTGTGGATCTTTATAAAGCTACCCTGTACAATACAGATTTTTTTCCTGTCTAAAGACAGAAAGACATGTTTACTCCAAGGTCACTCTGTTGCCATGTGAGAGAGGTTGATGGTACCAGGACCACCATGCTGGGGGAGGGTTGTGTGAGAGGAGCCATTCTCCCAGCCACAGTAGTGCTTGCAGTAAAACCAATAAAAAATCTGCGTCAACATCAAACTGTAAGTGAATGTGAATGTTGTTTTATATATTTGAAAAGGTTTTACTGTAGAGGCCATCATTTCTGACCAAAAAATTCCCACTTTTTGGATGGACATTTGCTCACCTTACCTCATGCATCTTCAGAGCCTCCTGAACAACAGCTAGAAGTTTTATATGGACCTGCCAGTGAGGACATTGAGTCTGCTACAGTAACCTACCATGGAGCATCCAGTTCATAGTTGTGGTCAGAGGGCTGGAGAGAAGGACCCTTTTGGACTAATTCTGGCTTAACCATAAAGCAGGCAGTAGTAAACTGTTCTTTTTGTTCATTGTGGACAGAAGAAGTATGAATGGGTCTAAATGGCAAAAATAAATAAATTGAGGCTACCCTCGTTGGCAAGAGTAGTTAAGCATTGTATGGGTGTGGTACATCCATCATTAAGGGTTTTTAAGGCAAGTTAATCAAACAGTTTTCAAGAATTTTTTCAGAAGACTAAATCCTGCCCTAAGGAAGAAAAAGAAAATGGATAATCTGTTCTCCTCCAGTCCAATTTACTCTGATATTTTTAATAACCATTTTGATGCCACTTAATCATTACTATAACTAACTATGCTGTCCCTGTGTATTTTACTGATATGTTCTTATATGTGATTTTGCTCTTGCAGTACATGCAACGAAGAAATCATGATAACAGAATTCGTTTATGTATAAAGGAGAATTATGCCTCTAATTAAGAGAGCATTCAATTTCAGAAGGGCAGTTCTGACATCTTACTTCTGTTTTTCTGTATACAGGATTCTCAGGTGTTTGTGATGCATCTGTTTTTAATATCATTGCATAACAAGTTTGGAAAGTGCTGGAAAAATATTGCAAGTCTTTTTCTTTAAAATTTCAGAAATCCTTTACAGGATTCAGCTTTTTCCAGTAACAGGATTATAAGGTTAAAAAAAATATTTAGACAATATTTCAGTTGAAATAGACTGAAGGATTTTTACACATACTTTATTTGTGCTTCAGAAATTTGGCAATTTAAGAAGCCTACCCTAATTGTTGTTTTTAAGCTCATCACAGTACCTATAATCAATTTAGCAAGAAGACACTTGGCCAGTTCTTTGAAACATCCATACATAAATATTGCTATGTCATTCTGCTGGTTGGGATTATGTTACTTGCTGAATGATTGCTACTCATTTTTTGCCAGTATAATCAATAAAAGTGACACTGAGAAATCTGATCTTCCTTTTCTGCAGGCCAGCTTTGGGTGGTCTCCTTACATCATCTTTTCGGCAGCACCAGGAGTCCTTGGCAGCAGAAAGAGAAAGACGGCGTCAGGAGAGAGAAGAAAGGTTGCAAAGGATAGAACGTGAAGAAAGAAACAAATTCAAGTAGGACCCAAATTTGCTCTCAGTCTCTTGCTTTCATGTGTGACAGATTGGTAAACCATTGAGACATTCAATTACAAAATAATGGAATTGATGAATAGTTTGTCTTTTAGATAGTTTTCTTGATCTAAGTATCTTAAGAACTGATAGATTGAACACATCATAAATTTTGGCATTTAATAAACCAGCAAGTTTTTTTAAAGACAGCTATTTATTTGCCAGTTATACTGTCTGGGTATCTACAGAGGCTTGGGTTTACAAGCTAATATACTCATCAAATTATAATCTCATTGAACCATAGGCTTTGAAGGTGAAACAGTGGGACAAAGGTATCAAGAAGGGAGGAAGGGACAGAACTGAGACATCTTTCTACTTTTATATTGCTCAAAGTAAAAGTGGTTTGCTGTCTCAGGATGTATGGTAGTGGTTTTTAACTACTTTTCCTGCTTTTTTGAACACATCTCTTCCTCCTGGAAAATAATTCTAGAAAGTATTTATCAAAATTATTGTTGATACCGTGGCCAGACAAAGGCCACAGGTGAACACAGGACTTTCCATTTTCACATCTGAGAACGTGATGTGGGATCCCAGGGTGTGCTGCCTGAGAATAGTAAGAGAAAAGCCCTCTCATCCTCTTAAATCCCAGCACGGACATTAGCAAAGACTGCAGTGAGCTAAGGATAGATACAGAGTCTATACTTGAAATGGTTTGCCTACAGTCTGAAGAATGTACAATAAGAAACCAAGTTGTTTCCTCATAAACAGGACTGAAGAGTAAATGTATTTTTAGTAGTTAGAATACATAATGTAGTAACCTAAAGAATGGTAAGATAAATGTTTTGTAGCCTTAGAATTGGTAGTTACAGAAAAGATGGCACTGGTTTTCATATGAGCTTGTTTATTAGTATGCAGGATTGTTTTCACTGTAATCATCTCTTTAGTAAGAAGTGGAAATGGTCTGTGATTCTGTGAATTTGGAAAGAGGCGTAACTTACTAGTGGTTGGTTGGTTGATAATCTCCTGGCTCCAGAAGATAACTAGTTTAGAAGGAAATGAGAGGCGGAGGGAAGGTGGAAGAGCACCATAATAGGATCTTTGGCAGCCAACAGCTGCCCAAGTTCTCCTGAAACAGAAACAATAAGGTCTCAGTCTTCAAGCCTCTTCCAAAAACTCTCCCTCTAAGTAGTATCATCAGGCTGCAGAACACTGCCATGGACAGCCAACATGATCTTTCAGAAAGGAAACTCCCAGACTGAAAAAGCCAACAGGGCATTTGGCAGCTTGACCTGTTTGAATAACAGATATGCACATTTCAGTAGAGGCTGGCTTCAGCAGTTGTTCTGTCACTAAAAGGGCTTCCTTAAAGTCAGAAAAAAAAATCAGAAGATACATTTTCATCCCATTACTTAAGAGTCAGAAGCTGGTTAACCAAACACCATGGTTGTGTTGAATATTAAGACGATTTTTCAATGCCCAGTGTTTTCATCTTCCAGATCTGAATTCCGTGATCACCCAAAAGTTATAACTTGTGTTTGAGTAGAGAGTCTCCACAGCCACCAAACTTCACAGACAGACAGCATCCCACAGTTGATTAAACAGTCTGGCAGGAGAAGGACAAAGCCACAGAGAGCAGTCATGGACAGTTTCATAAGAGTTCCTGGGATTGCATTATCATATCATCAGCCTGGCTAGAAATACAGTCTCTGAAGATGTATTTTTGATTAAAAATAGCACTTGCAATTCAGACTTTAAACTCGTGAGCAATACTGGATTTACCATCATGACTCATTTGTTATCTCATTCTTTCCAACTCAGCCTTGAGAACATTGCACTAGGTTCTGGCACCATTATTGACAAATTGAAGATAATTTAAAGAGGAGCATCACCAGTTGTGAAAGAGTTTGGTTTTAGGAGATGTGCTAAAAGCTTCATAAGCTATTGCTAACAAACAAAATACTTTACAGAATGAACATTTTTCTCACTAGAAGGACTATTATACTCATTACTTATATAGAACAATATGTCCTAAAATACAATGGTTATTCTTCAGCTGTAGTGAGTAAAGTAATGTTAAAATTTGCCTGCTGAAGAATTCTTAGATTTTTTTTTTCCCTTGGAGTTATTCCCATAACTATTGTAATTCCAAAGAATATTCTGGAAACATGATAAAAGTGTAACTAGTTCAGGATTCAAAGCATGTGCAGATAGCCTGAAACAGTAATGTATGTTCTCTGTTAGTGGTCTTTTGAAGAGCACTTGCAAGAGTAATGTTAAAATTTGCCTGCTGAAGAATTCTTAGATTTTTTTTTTCCCTTGGAGTTATTCCCATAACTATTGTAATTCCAAAGAATATTCTGGAAACATGATAAAAGTGTAACTAGTTCAGGATTCAAAGCATGTGCAGATAGCCTGAAACAGTAATGTATGTTCTCTGTTAGTGGTCTTTTGAAGAGCACTTGCAAGCAGGTATTTGATAGCTGTTGGTGTGAAAGATGATAAATATTCACTTGATGACACAATATAAAGAGAAAAAAATAGTGGTTCTTAATAAAAGGAGTAGTTCTGAAAACCTTTCTGGTACTCACAGGTTATGCTGTGAAAGAGTCTAACAGATTCTTAGCAGTCTTAGCAGGTTTTTTCTACGAGATTCAACAAATTACTGAAAGTACATCATAAGGAACTGTCTTGCTATGATATTGAGGCAGGCTGAACATTCACTGGGTTCTGCTGTGCTCCAAGTTAAATTTACATCCATGTTTGTGGATGTGGCAGGTCTGCCTGAAATCACAGTGCTCAAGCATCCAGCAAAGTTGACTTGGCAAAAGCTAAATATATGGGTTACTTGAGGAGCTGTGGGAGCGGCCGCTGCGATAGAAAGAGATTTGTAGCTAAAACTCAGGGTGTAAAAGAAAGAAGAGAAAGGTTGTTATCTGTCCAATGATCCTGCACACACCTTCTAAGAATAAAGAATTGTCCTACTCAGTAATGCCAGCCTGCTGTCCTGTTTCTAGCTGTAGCAACTAAAACCCGCTGAGGAAAGGTGCCTTAGAAAGAAGGCTGACATGGTATGCTCCCTGCCTTTGTCTAGACTGCCAGGTACTGTAGTCACTGTTTTGGGTCATTCCGAAATGAAGCAAATGAGGAACCGTTGAATAGCCACTAATGTGCCTGCTCGATACGGATAAGTATGTAATTTCAGATACAAAGTTTCAAAGTGTGCTTCAAGTTTTTCACTTTTTGGTTTTCACTATAATTACTTTTAATGACCTTCCAAACTACATTTGGTGTCACATACCTGTGTTATACCCATGGATAAGTGTACACACACTCTTTTCACCCATTCTTGCAAAACCAAACAATTTCTGTCGACAACAGCCTTCATTGTCTCTGATCAGCTTGTTTGTACTGTTCTTGGTTTCTTGCACTGTGCTTATTCTTCTACTACTTACCTTATTCTTCTGGTTTCTGCTGCAATTTACTGTAATTCTCTTTTTAGCCGCGATTATTTAGACAAAAGAGAAGAACTAAGACAAGCAAGAGAAGAGAGGTTTGTATATAATGCATCCATCCTTCCCTTTGATTGTTTGCACTTCTTGTATTCTTTACTGTGGAGCTGTTGTGTATTTACATTTTTAACCCTGCTTGCACAGAACACTTTTATTCCAAAAGACTTCTGTAAGAAAGAAATTGTTAAATTAAAGAGGAGAATGAAGTCCAGCTGTAAGCACAGCAATAACTGAAGAGCAGTGGGACTGGAATGCATAAGAATGATTGATGATCAATCTTTTATCTATTTGTGTGGGAAATAAGCTTACTCCATTTGCCTCAGAAATTTGCCCAAATTTAGTAGAGTTATAAATTGAATAAGCCTGTCTTTCTCACCCAGTGAGTCCCAAGCTTTCTGGAGGGTCAGAAAAGGCAGCTGAGGATAAAGGAAACTGGGGTCACAAGCATTGCAAAATTGCAGTGACAGGCTGATGGAAATGGTTCTGACCCACTCCCAGCACAGTTTTGTCTTTCAGGGCCAAGTTTTCTTTACTGATCTCTCTAAACATCAGCAAGTAAATTACAAAGCTTAGCACTGTTTACCATTTGGGTATTGTTTTAGTTTTATTTAAATAGCATATTTAAAGGGACTGACTGTTTGAGGTTTTTTCCTTTTTTTATTTCAAATAAATAGTTTAGAAACTCTGATCTAGGCTGGGAGCTATGTGCTTATGAAAGCACATTTTCCAAGCAATATTCAACTAAAGACCTTTGCCTTTCAGTAGCTTGATCTCTACCTCCACTAGTAATTACATCCTGGAGGGACCTCTTGTTTTTACCTGGAAAATATGCAAGTAACTGTACAAATAATAGATGAAAAATCATCCAGAGTGCTTCAGTTCTGCTTTTATGGTCCTCCAGAGATTACTCTCTGGAGATATTTTTGGATTGTCAAGAATTGGAATTACATTGTCAAAATAAGAGAGCAGACATCTCAGAAATAGTGGTGCCATGTTTTTTTGGTTTGAGGTGGTTTGGTTTTTTTATTTTGTTGCTTTTATGGTTGGTTTTTTTTCACAAAATCATCATACAGGAGACAGTTTGTTTCTGCAGACTGAAGTCTTTTCTATTGTGGCTGAAGTAGCTAATATTAAAACATGATTTTGGCATCTCTAAGAGTAAGAAAAGGTGCATGGGCTTTCCTTTGTCCTTCCAGCCAAAACAATTACAAGTAGTTTAAAGCATTTGGTGAAGTGAAATGCGCCTGAGCACATAAGCATCATACACTGATGTGAGCTGAGCAAAATCTATCTCAGCAAGCATGCTCATCTGCAAGATTTGAAAAAAATTAGAAGTGAGTTCTCCAGAACTTTCAAGTTGTAAGGGAATGTGCCAACTGGGGTATTTTTGTGGAAGTGCTCACCAGCAGTGCATCACTGCTGTGCAATCTGAGGCAATTTCACTGGTCATCAGGAATGTGTCTTTATCCTTAGGGCTCTTTTGAACTGAAATGTTAAACTATCAGTTCTTACTCATAAAGAGGAAATATATGTTTGCTTTGACAGCACATAAATGTATTCTGCAAGTGAAGTCTTGCACAAGTAGTCCATTACATTTGTGTTCTTTAACTATTTTTTATAACAAACACATTAGCACAACTGAAGTTTCATTTCCTATAGGAAGTTGCATATTGACTTGTTTTAAGAGAGTGCATAGACTCTAAGAAAATCCTTTATCAAGATGTCTAAAATCCTAGTTAAAAACTGCCCTGTATATTTCCTCCATATCAGTTCTTGCTATTCTGTGGTTTGAGACTTTGAGGCTTTTTTTCTTTTCTTGCCTAGGGGGTTTCCAGTGGTAATTAAAAAATAAAACCAAGAAAGGTGAGCTCCCAAGCCCTCTCTACTGTGAGGCACAACTCTCTAACCCATGACACTGTTGCTACATAAACATTTTAAGTTGCACCCAGGGTGTTGCTCAGAGATCTAGAAAACTCACAAGGATATTTTCATCTACTTGAAGTGTCGTGTTCCTGAGGCATACCAAATGGATATTCCACAGACTTTGGCCCTTTGTCTATAGAGAAGTGGTATCATAGGTGTGATGATATCTGCAGGTTTCCATGATTTAGAGGAATGTGGCAGCATATACAGAGGTAATGTGTCAATCCTGTAGTGGAGGTATAGCTCATCCTTTCAGTTCCTGAAGATTTTGGGCTTCATGAGACCTTGTGTATTTGCTGCTGGCATTCATTCATTGTTAAGACATTGATCAGAAACAAAAAATAACCTAAATAATGTCATATATCAAGTGTGAAGTGTTAATAACTGATTCTTGAATGATTTTTTATTTCTTGGTTAAATTGCTCTATCTGCTGATTAGGCTTTCTATTTGATAACTAGTTGCGCTGATGTGCTGCCACTGGAGTTGCTGTTCTGGTTCCCTTTTTTCTGTCAGTATAATAATCAGATACATTTTGAGAAGTCAGATCTTGGTGATAGTCCTGTTTTGCTGGTTGGCTGTGCAGCACACAGCTACAGAACCTAAAATGTTAAAGCAGCTGAAAAAGAGCTGAGGACTGTGAAACACTGTAGCTCCCCCCAGTATAGAAGGATCCATCCAGATCTTTGTTGTAGTCTGTTGGCAAACTGCAAAACCCCCTCAGCAGCAGCCAGCTGGGCTGTACCTGTTTGTGCTAAGTGGTCAATTTGAATGGCTCTTTATGAGTCTGAAGTCCCATCTGCTCTACTTGTGAGGAGGCGGAAGGCACAGTATGTAAGTGACCAATGCTAAAAGAAAGACTGGCTTCATGAACTGTAAGAAAACATCGTGCTGATGCCAGTGAAAGGCTTTCTTCTCTATTGAAAAGGCAAAATCAGTCTCGAGAACTGACTTCATGTTAGAACTGTAAACGGTTCCTATTTTATAACCATACAAGTATGTAGCTTGTTATATTTTAATCCAGAGTCTGTAGGGGTTCTTTTTTCTTGCAGAATTTGTTCAAAGCCTGTGCATACCTCTGGAGGAATAAAAGAAAATGGGTTTGTTCTTCATTATTGCTGTTTGCAATAAGGCAAATTGCCTCTGAAAGCACAAGGACTGCTCTTCAAAGACACGTTTCTATGCTCTATATGGATGTTTGCAAATGTGCATGTGTGTGTGACTACCATATGTACTAAGCATGTTTGTTACCACATATGGCTGACTTCTTTACCCTGCCTGCCTTTAATGCACCCTCGTGCACTAATTCAGGCTGTCAGTGAGGCAGAAGGGGGGAGGAGAGGTGTTCCCTGTTACGAAGTGTTTACAACAGTGGGTTATAGGAGGATGACCACAGTGTTTCAGGGACATAAGCAGTAGTCTCGATTAACCTGTTTAACAGTTCACTTGTGGGTAAGGCAAATAGTCTAAAGCCTGATCCAGCTGTACGCATGAATTTATTCCTTAGCAAATAATGGTGGATAAAATTAGCAGACATCTGGAAGAGGCACATATTTCAAAGTTATTTTGGTCGAAATGTATAAAGCACACTATGAAGAATATGATTGGTAGCTGGTCTTAATAAACAGTTAGTGAGTTCTGCCTGCCTAAAATGCAAAACAGATGTATCTTTGTTCTTTTAAAGTGACTTTGATGAATAAACTACATGTGACGTCAGGTACAAGCTATTGGATGTCTGAGTCCGGCAGAGAAATTTTTTAGAATAAAAAAAAGAAAACTTTCCATTGTAGGCTCTGGAGAGAACAAAGTGAATTCCAGTGCATTGCTCTCAGAGCAAATAGAAGCAGGTTCAGAGACTTTAGATAGTCAATCCAAGCATTTATTATTGGTATTATTTTCAGGGAGATCTGTTTTTGTCTGCTGCATTTTCCTCTCCTTAGAGCAAATCTCACTCAGACTTTGGCAATTTGCATCAGTATTAAGGGGCTCTGGATTTGAAGGGTTTTTTCCTTCTTTTGTTTTTTTTTTTTCCCTCAAGTTTTAGTTTTGGGAAAGGGAGGGCTGGGAGGAGGAGGAGGAGGAGGAGGACGTCTGAGAGAAGGAGGAGGAGGAGGTGGTGAAAGAGGAGGGTGAAAAGGAGGACAGACAAATGCTTCCAAAAGAAGAACTGTGCAGACACAGTACTATGCCTAAAGATTATTTAACTCTGCTGTTTTTTGCTTTTATATTGTCATGAGCAATTTAACATTTTTCAGGGCAATAGTCTTTGCTTTGGTGTGCACTTCTTGGCAGATTGAGTGGGCAGGCAGTTTAGTGCTGTACCCCTTGTGTCAGGTAGTCAGTGCATTCTCTGCAGGTGTTTCAGCCATAAACAAGCATCAGCCACAGACTTCTTTTTCTTTACGGAAACCCTCTGGAATTTAACTTTTAGATACAAATACTTGGAGAGGTTGGCAGCAGAGGAGTATGAGAAGGAGCTGAAGAGCCGGAGTGTAAGCCGAGGCAGAAGCGAGCTGTCCTTGAACCTGAGATCTCCTTCAGCCCCATCCTCACCTGTACCCAAGTGCATCAGCCCAGTATCTGTAGAGTCCCAGGAAGAGCTGAAGACCCCTTCCACCCCTTGTGTGACCCCTCAACCCGCAGAAGGTAAGTGAAAAAGAGGGCAGAGAAAAGAATGGTGGGTTTATCACAGTTTCTCTTGGGATAGTGGTGATTTTTGATGCATGAGTGCAAGAATATAACCTATGAGGTGCCAAAGTAAAGAGTCTTATCATATTGTTTCATCTTGTCTTCCTAAATGTCCTTTTTTTCTTTTTTTTTCATTTATTTGGATCTCATGTAATTTGTTCCATAATAAAATACATTGCTAATTGTTGCTGTGATTTATACAATCATTATCTGTTGCTATTAGAATGGAATAACTGGAAAATACAGCATACAGAGGGTCTTAATTTTAGCATCATGTTCCTTATATATTAGAAGTTACTGAATACTAGACAAACAGTATTCCTGCCAACAGATTTTGCTTATGTGGATTCTCTGAAAGAAGTGCAACAGATGAATGCCAAGATTATAATAACCTTCCAGTAGAGCACAGGCTGAATGGGACAAACAGAAAACGTCTTGAACTGAAGTCAGGGGATTGTGTTGATTATTTTTAACACCAAGAGAAACTCTTAAAATTGTAGCACAAGTCATAAAGGACTTAAAAGAGACCACAGGCAATTAGTAAAATGGAAAGCATAACTTGTGTTTGCACGGTTGGTTTGCTGACATATAATTTATTGGTGTACAGAGCAGTATTTTTTGTGTGTGCACGTCATTCTGCCAATTGCATCGTGTACCTCTTCTTCAGTCCTCAAAAACCCACCATACAGGTGCATATTTGTGCCACATGATGTTGCATTAACACTGGGAGCTAGAATGCATGTTGAGGGTAAATTATTGCCATCATTCATTTTTATTTTATTTGATTTCCTGCTACATGCTATTGGTGATTAATGCATTTGTAACTTGCACTGCTTGATTTTATTGAGTGTTATGGCTGGTAGCATGCTATAAAGTAAGGCAATTTAAGAAAAAGGTTAAAAATACTGAATTGCATATGTTTGTCCTCACTGCACTAAGTAGGTGAAGTTTATTTAATATAGTTTTATAAATTTTCCCAATTATATTCCCCAGTTTTCTTGTCTGGCACGTTAAGAGTCTCAGTGGAATCATTTGAGTTTAAAAAACATGGATATTTTCCTCTGATACTGGTAGTCAGAAACATCCAAACATCCATTTTATTTGAGTGCAGTATTGATTTTAGAGCAAATAAGCTGTACTTTTCCACCATTAGGATTTCAGAGCTGGATTAGGAGCAAGTATCTCTTTTATGATGATTATTTTAACATATTTCTCCTGGAAGCATTAAAAAAAATGCAGCATGAAATGGAGCAGCACAATCCATTTGGAGAATACATTTAGAGCAGGTGTACAGGGCAACTTGAGGCAGCCAGAATATGGCAAAGCTATCAACACATGGGTAGACAGGACATCTCTACTAAAACTCCTGGCAACACCTGTAGGCATTGGAGGGCAGCACCTGGAAGCCTGGCAAATGGACCACAAGGAGAGAACATATGGAAGGGACAGGGTAAGCTTCCAGCCCAGGGAAGCTGCAGGCAGATGGCCAGGACAGAATCAGAACAGTGGCCTGAAATCTGCATCCTTCGGTGGGAGCTGTACATGGGGAATGGATGCTTTTTCAGGCCTACTGAAAGCATTGGAAAGGTCATAGGAAGTAATGAGCATGTGGGCAAGGCATCCCATCTGAAAGCAGCCGGATTATTGGATATCAGCCAATGCCTGGCAGGTTTAATATAGGCTTTGTGCCATGGCCTTTGTACTATTATCTGACTTCCTTATGCTCTATGACTAATTAAAATCTCGATTTTATGATCCTTAGGAAGTGCTATGAATCCAAATTAATAGATGAGAAACAGAAGCATTAACTTGTTGTAGTATTGCCAGTTGTAAAAGAGCTGAAATAGAGCTATGGACAGAACTCAGATTACTGCCGCCCCAAACAGTTGCTTTGGACGTTAGGGTCACTGTCTTTCCAAGCAAGGATGAAATTGCAGAAGGAAAATTGCGGAAGGAAAACAATTCCTCAGTTTTGTGCAGAGGATGCTACTCCAAAGACTCTTCAAGCACAGTGTTAACAGATGTGTCATATTTGACTGCAGAATTCAGAACCTGAAGTCAAAAGGAAAGTGTGTTCATCTATTATCAAAGCAATACATGATTTTCAAAGTCAGATTTATTTTATTCCATTTGCTCTGAAGTATCCTTTGGCCATCCAGTATCTACTGGTCATAAGAAGTAAACAGATTCTGTCTGTGGAACTTTGTCTCATGCTGTGAAATGTCTCAGTATCATCACCTGTTATAAAAAACTGGATTTACTGAGCTGAAGTGTTTTATCACATAAAACAATTGGTTCCACTGAAGTAATCAAGTCTTGTATGACTTAGTCTTGTAAAACTTGGGATATGGCATTTAGAGGAAATGAAGGAAGTCCCATAACTGCAAAATGGAACTTAATATTTTTTTTCAGCACAGCTACCTCCTCTTTTCTGATTTCATTGGAGAATATTTTATGAAGTGCACATAGGCAGTAAAGGAGAAGCAATAATAACTGAGATATCTCTGAAGTCAATCCACAAAGAAGTTGGAGATGAATGCTTCTCTGAGAGGAGCAGCTTTTTTAGCACTTGAGGAAGTAAATAGGCCAACCCAAGTGCACACTGTGGACGGTAGGAAACCTTCTGAACATACTAGTAGCTGAGCAAGGTTCAAATATTGCCCGAACCATGAGTGGTGAAAGCATCTTAACCGGTGGGGAAGCACCAGACCATAAGAATGCAGTGAGGCCAATACAGCCCCAGCAGTAGAGCCAAAGAAACCACGATACAGAAAGTCAGAGAGAAACTGAGGTGGGGGACAAAGAAGGATAATTTCTGACTGCATGAAGAAAGAGCCAGTTCCCTACTGTTGATTACTCTGCACTAGTTCTTACCACCACAAGGAATGGGAGGAAAAGAATGGGGTGGGGGTGGGGAAAGATATGGAGCCCTTGAAGAATTCAGAGGAAGGGGAATTGTATGCTGGAGGAACTGAAGGGAGATAACAATCAAGACTTTAAGTGCTGCCCAAACAATTGAACAAGAGGTCTTGGGTAGGTACAGTGCCTTCAGCCGTAGTGTATGCAGTAACTCAAGAGACACTTAGCATATGTATCTCACAGCTCCAAGTAGAAACCAGAGAAAATAGGTGAGGATGTAGTTGCCTAATCAATTGCCCTGATGAGGACATCTCCTGATGAGATGTGGGCCCAGGGCTTATAGGATTGGAGGGCTGAAGTCTTATCAGGAGGGTACAACATCTTGTGTCTGCTTCAAAGTTCATTTATAGTTGCATATCAAAGGAAATGTCCATGTCCCTCTGTGGGATTACAAATTCTTAGCCATGTTTTTTGGAAGGGAACAGCTTGCTGTCCTCACTCACCTCTCACTCAAAAGAGGGCTGTCACCAATATCCGATCAGATCATAGCACTTCAGGTTACTAGCACTTAACGTGGCCAAGTCTTGAAAATGTCAAAGATGCAGCTTACACCATCTCTCCAAATGGCAAAATCTTTACACATTCATTGAGGGATCCTGCTACTGTCTCTTTTAGTGATGAAGTCATACAGCTTCTCTGGGAGATTTCATTCTAGAGATTAAGTTCTGGGAGAAAACAGAAGTGGATCAATGACTCAAAAACTAGTCCTTAAAGCCACATTCAGTTTTTGTCCTCCTGTTTAATCCAATTGCAAACAAACCTCTACTTATTTGAAGACCTCAGTTTGGTCATTTGTTTTAATGGTTGCAGGGAGGTGGAACTAAGCCTTGAGATAAGTCTTAAAAACACTACATGCAAGTGAAAAGTGATTACCTCTCCTAGTGAATCAGACAATCCCAGTTTAGGTTTTAAGAACTGTGTATGTGTAAGAATTGGAGTTTTTTTTAAAAAAAAGAAATACATATATATGTTGCTTGTACAGATATCACACTTCTTAACATCTCAGGCAAGCCTTCTTTGCTGTTGATGCTTTTTGATATGGCCATGCTTGCTTCCCTGAGTCTTTGTGCTCTCCACCAGCAGAAGTTTGAAGACAGAGACAGAGCTTGATCTGTTGTTTATCCCTCTTTACACCTGTAAGGTTGCTGTTTAGAGTAGTGTTTGGAAATGGACCAAAAATAGGCCCAGTAGACATGGGACAAGAAGTTTGAGCTCATTTCAAATAGGTCACCACCAAGCAGTCAGTGATAATTGTATTTTTTAACATCTTTAGAAGCTCTCACCAGTATCACCACAATGGATTACATGCTGGAAATGGAAATGATGGACACATGCCTAGCTTTGCTGGCTTTGTTCTCCTGCTAGTGTTTTCTAGCAGATTTGACTTTTGCACTGCTTTTTAAGTGAAGTGCTACTGGACTTAGCTCACCTTACTATTTATAAGCGATTTGGGTTGAAGGTGGATTGTTTGATATTATCCCTAAGGAGAGAGACAGGCTGTCAATATATCCTTGTTTTGTTCTAGAAGTGTTTAGGTTTTGGTAGTCCTTGAATTTGGAAGAACAGTTTCTGTCAGTGTATTTTTCTTTGTTGTATATTAGATTCTGCTAAGTTACTGCATCTTTCTGGTGTGTGTGTAATACTCCTTGTTAGGAGAGTATCCAGAATTCTTTTGAACATTCCCATTTTCTCAAGCATGTCCTTTGACTTTTTCCTTTTGAATCTTCAGTGTAGCTTCATGATGACAAAGGTCCAGTTAGCACTATTAGCAGTTCTGGCCACATTTTAGTCACCCTCTTTTTCAACCTGAGCTGTTGGAGGTTTTTAGAGTTAACATCTAAAATTCATAGAAATTCAAGGATGAGCTGGTGACGTGTATATGTGGACCATTGCAGAATGGCAGGCTGGGAGTCTTCATGCTACAGTACCATGTTTGTTCCAAAAGCTCCCGAAGGATTCCTCAGCTTCCATCTCAGTTATATACAAATCTTGGCTTGACTTTAAAATGCTCTCTTGCTATACGTACACACTGACAGCTGTGGTGAGAAACACACCCCTGGGATTCAGAGTCTCTGCCAATTTCTTGACAACCCTCGATCATTTTGATTCTCTCCTAGGCAGTGTCCAGAGTGTAGTCATAGGTAAGGTACATATAGAGAAACAAGGCATGTGCAGTGGTGCTTGCGTACCTGATATTAGACTTTCAGATGCTCTCTGTGTAGAAGAGAGAGAAAGCTAAGTTTCTAATTGGGAGTGTTTTAGAACATCTGAGAGGAATTTAAGTGAGCGTATAGTATATATTGAATATAATATGTGTATATTTCTTTTATATGAATGTGTTATATATGTGTGTCCAGTTATTTAACTATGCATATTTAAAAACAATTATGAAAGTGTAGAAGCTTAGCTCCAGTGAAATCAGTGGCAAAAAATTATTTGCAGTTTTGTACCCTTAAGTTATATGAAATGAAGTGAAATAGTGCGGTGCTGAAGATTTATTACTGAAAGCTAGTTTAAAAACATACGCATTATTGTAGAGACAGTAGGTGCAGGTCCTCTTAGAAAACATTATTCTATGTGTGGATATCTCAGAAAATAGGATAAATACCCAATATTGTAATGAAAAATTGTTAGCAGAGGGACAAAACAAGTATGACTTGGTCATTTTAGTTCAGCCACCCAACAGAAGATTTAGTACAGAGGGAATTTGGGAATTATGCAGAACTAACATGCATGCCTGTTTTTGCCACATTTTGCATGGCCATTTCAGTTTCCAGACAATTGTGAGCTGCTTGATGTGAATATGTGTGGATGCTCTTCAGTTTCTTTGCACCATGCAGAGCATACTTGCATGTGAAAATCTGCTTTTACAGCTAAAAACCCTAAAGGTGAATGCATTAATTTCATGGTCAGTGATAAAGCAGGGAAGAAGAAAGCAAGTGTACTACCAGCAGTGTTTGCTGTGTGCCAGCTGCTAAAAAAGCTCATCGTATGCCATATGCCAACCAATTGGAAACTAAATTTGTGCCATATGACAAGCAGTTGGAAACTTTGCTCAGTTTTGATGTGGCTAATCTTAAGTAAATGTGCATGAAAAAACATATGGATTTTGTCAGCCAAATGTGTGACAGTGCCATTTCCAGACTGTGCCATTCAACTGTGTTATTAAAACTAATATTTGTATTTTTTTCGTTGAAGTGTTCCTCATCAGATGAAAAAAGAATTCTTCCTGAACCCAGAGAAAATTCAACCAAAAGCCACAATCTCCCTCCTTTTTGTTTTTTAAACGATCTCTTCTTTCCTGGCTCTGTCTAGGCACTGAGTTGTCAATGTCATGCTCAGGTGGGATGCCCATTTTCTGCTGGTTCGTTCAAATCCTTGTGTGAGTCCAACACTGCAGCTGTGGAAGTATGTATAAAAATAGTGGGCTGGCTCCAAACAGCAAGTGAGGGGGTTTGCCAGGCCACTCTCACATGCAATGCTGTCATCGCACAACATTCATCAGTCTGTTGCTCCGAATGTTCTGCATGCCCTGGACTTGCTTTTTATTTTCTTTCCATAAGGCACTCATACAACTCTCACACACAGAAGGGTGAGCCTGAGATGTCTCCATTGTTAAGTGAATCTCTTTCTCCCATTGTTCTCTCCACCAGTGAGTGCCAGTGAACCCGAACCAGAGACAGAGACAGAACCAGAACCAGAACCAGAACCAGAGCAGGAGGCTGAGGCTGAGGCCAAGCAGGGAACGGAGACACCCAAGGAAATAGAGGCTACAGAGGTGGGACCAGAGAGTGAGGTGGAGCAAGGACCAGAGAGAGAGCCAGAAGAAAGTGCAATACTCAGTGAAAAAGAGAGGCAGAATGAGGAAGTGAATGAAAAAGACAACTGTTCTGCATCCAGTATATCCTCAGCAAGCAGCACTTTAGAGAGGGAAGAGAGAGAGGACAAGTTAACCAGTGACAATGAAACTGGTAAAGTGAAGCTTTTTCAATAATGAAGGGTTTCTGGTGGAAAAAAAAATGTTAAATTAGCAGCTCTATTGTTGTGCTAATTAGCTAACAAAGCCTTTGCATCTGTCTAAGACTTTCTTCACCATGGCCAACTCTTGCCTATTCTCTGCTTGGAATTCACAGATTTTATTGGGGTTTCTGTGTTTGAGGTACAATAGGGCCTTGATGAAATGAAGTTTCCTTTGATTTGAGACCATTTTCTTTCACTAAGATTAATATATTAACTATTGAATCACCATGTAGCAGCGACTTGCTACTCTAGCTCCCAGAGAATGTATTTGGGTTTTCTGCACATAAATCAATGAGACAAGGGGCTGTGCTGACATGATTTGTCTCAAGATTCTAGATACATTTTCTCATCCTTTTAGTGGAAGAGGAAGAGCAGTGAGGACTGGGATGTTTGTTCCTTCCCTTCAGTTCCATCTTGATTAGGCTTCAAACAGCAAAGAGAGACACGTGGGAGCTCCTGAAGATAGGTCTAGGCTGTGGCCCTCTATAGTTCATGTGGAAGAGGCACGTGAAATATACCTTCTCTAGAAAAGACCAGTTCTGTAATGATGAAGGGTTAGACTAGTTCTGTAGTGATGAGGAATTCTGGTCAGATATGCCAGCAGGTACCTGTAAAGGCCAAGCCTGGAAAACACCTTAAGGACCAACTTTCTGCCGAGAGAGACAATGATAACCAGAGTTTGTCATGCAGCCCAGGCAGAGAAGGAGTAAAAGGCAGATTTTGACTGTGTGACTCTTTTCCATTTTTGTTATAGGGAGGTAAAGGAATGTAATGTAGTTATGCCATTTGGTTCCCAAGTTTTCTTCCGCCTGAACAGTGAAGTCTGTTGTCCTAAGTTTTCAAAATTCTAGATAAGAAAACAAGATGTGCTTCACAATGTGAAAAAACTCTTGCTCTTTCCTGAAAGAAGAGGGATAACTCTAAATCGTGAGGATTACCTCACAGAGATAAACTGTCAGATTGAATTGTTCATGCGTAAACCATGTCACTTTTTTTTTCTGGGAAGCATTATGTGAATTTTATCCTAAATTTGAGAGGTAATTTCTTTTCAACCAGCACCAAGACTGAGTTACTTAGAATGCTATTGTACTCGTAAAGAATATAGATGGATATATCTGTAGGAAAGGCAAGGGAAGTATGACAGAGATGAAGGACGTTTTTACACTTTAGGGTAGTCAAAGATAATCCAAGTGCAGAAAAGGGAGAACAGGTTGCAGGTTTTTTCTCCTCATCTTGTCTGTTACTAACCTGTTACCACTCTAATTAAGTCCCTATGTACTTTCTGTTAAAAGCTAAGAAATGTACTGTTACTGAAAAATCGACATCTTAAAATTTACCTACTTTACCAGTAGACCAAAGATTTATTCGGCTGTGCTGTGTAAGAGATTTCATGCAGTGAATTCTAGTAGCTGGGGAGATTCGGAAAGCAAATGGCAGCACTTTCTCCAGCAATTCTGACATTTCCAACAAGCAGTTTACCATTTATTTGGTGGCCCACTGGTTCTGCCCAGATGCATTAAGGATAAAGTAATAAAGCCCTTAGTGCAGGCTCCTCTTTCATTAGCCACCCTGCCAAGTTTGGTTTCTAACAAGACTTGTTTCTCCAATGGTGTTTCAATGCTTTATCTGCAGAGAGGAGGACAGAAGAGGCCACCAAGGTAGCCAGTCTTCACAGCAATGATCTTTGATCAGCTAGGGCAGATGGAGGTGGTCTTGGGGAACCCAAATTAGATTGTGCCTAGGGGAATTTTCATGAGCAGTTTTGCCAAGAGGTTAAATCCTAGAGGATCCCATTTGGTGAAACCAAGAGGGGGTAGGTTATGTGGGATTTGTAGGAGAGATCTTAGGAGCAATCTTGAACATCTTTGAAGGAAAGGCTGGAAGTAGGGGGAAATTTTCTGTGAGGGCACAGACAAGTAAAATCTATGGTGTGGGGAAGGAGTTGTCTAGTCATACTGTCTAATGAAACTCCCTCAGAGACAAATCTAAGAGACAACCTCAGGTGACTAGTATTGGAAAGAAAGCAATTCCATCGATAAAGTCTGAGGAAAAATGAGCAGGCAATGGAAGCAGTCAAGCCTCCTGCAGGAAAGTAGATTGTATCCATTGTTGAAAAGAAGTCTTTCTTTTGTCTGGGGTTAAACCTTTGGACTAATTTTAAAACATGGTTTAGAGGTTGGTCTGAATAGAGGTGAGAGTCATTGCTGTTCATATGCTTTGTATGGTGAGGCCCTGCATTTTAGTGTGGTGGTATTTTAAGGGAGTGGGAGGGGAGTTGTGGAGTCCTGGATGTAGATCTCACCGAAAGGACACCTTCTCAGAGCACAGAACTAGATGTTTTGGTAAGAAAGCAACTTTATTGGCAAAGGAATTCATAAAAGATGTTTAAAACTCTAATGTATTGAGAAAGGTGGGAGCCTAAGTGGAGAAACAAAGATAAAATGGAAGTTTAAGAAAAAGGGCAACTGACAGGTATAAAAGAAAGTCTTTAACCACAAGAACCCAAAAGGAAGGCAGACTAGCAGTCAAACTAAAATGATTAAAGAATCAGAGTTTATGAAAAATGTATTAATAACATGCATATAGACTATGGGGAACAGAAGGAATTCCATACAGGAAATACAGTAAGTGCGAAGAATTATCTTTATTCATGTTTAATCACTTCATCTGATGCTCACTGGAAAAAGAAGCACCATAATTTTTAGACACATTATCCATGTTGGTTAGCAGTATTATATTCAGGGAAATGTAGTCACAGAGATGCTTACATCATATATTTTTACAGTTTGACCACTATAATTTGTTATTTGTGGTGTTGTCTCAAACATGGCATTTTGCAGATTATTGGTGAGAAAAGCAGTAGTCAGAAAGACGAAGCTTCATTACAGTGACATGTTGAATGATTGTGATATGGGAAGACCATTAGTCTTTCAACACTGTCATATATAACAGGAAGGGTAACAGTGCTTGATGAGCTGCATTTCTGAAAGTATTTTGTAAAGGTTCTCATATTATAAATTACTTCAAGGATCTTGCTTATGCTTATACTCACTGAGTTGCCCTGAGAGACCTGTACCCTTGGTATGCAGCTAGCTTTGGAATTCCAATAGTATGTCTTGTGAAGATGGCCTAGGTACCCAGCCAGGAGGTCTGAGATGCAGTCAGGTCTGAAAGCTGTCCTCCCCTAGCCAGCAGGGTGGGAGGAGGAGAAGTAAGCAGCTACATGTTGACCTTACATCAGCCAGGGAAGATCTCTTTCATATTCCAGTTTATGGCCAGGTGAACAGTACAGTGATAGCCTATTATGTGTCATTGTCATGTATTTAAGCCCTGTTCTGGAATACTAAAGCTTAGGAGAATTTATGCACTCTATAAAATGAGCTGGGGTAGTAAGTACAAAGTGAAACCTGACAGATTTCAGGAGAAACCTGAATATTCAAATCCTGAAAGTTATCTAAGTTACATATTCCTTTCTACTCCTATTCCTTTTTTTTAATAATTACTCCCAACTCATTAAGATTAGGCTATATATCAGCACTGTCATTTATTTCAAAATTTTCGAAGTAACTGCTTGCCCAGTTTCAGACTAATTGTGCACATGCCCCCCAGGGGTTTTTCTGGTGGGTTGAAGAGTGTTCTTGGTGCTCTGGCTTCCTCCCCTTGACTCTTCCCATCTGTGTGTGTGTGATTGCAGGTCCATGGTCACAGACCATTCAGGATGCTGGTGTGAATGAGCAGTGCAGCAACATCCTCAACAACAAGCGGTTTATGCTGGACATGTTGTATGCGCATAACAAAAAGCCCAAGGATGAAGAGGAGAAGGAGCTGGAGGCGAAGGAGGAAAAGAAGGAGACGGAGGAAAGTGAGGAGTCACTCACTAGCCTAGCCAGTAGGATCTCTATTCTGCAGGCCACAAAGCAGGCCAAGGATGAAGGTGTCAAAAAGATGGAGATTGGAAATCTGGACAACCAAGGCAGTGTGAAAGCCTTTGCGGAAAAATTCAACAGTGGTGAGCTGGCTAAGGAGACAGCCATGCCTGAAGATGAAATCAGTGAACAGGTCCCCGAGAAAACACCAGCACAGCCAAAGAAGGAATCTGATTACATCTGGGATCAGCTCATGGCTAATCCTAGAGAACTTAAAATCAAAGACATGGATTTTACAGACCTGGGGGAGGAGGATGATGTAGATGTGTTGGACATGGATATGGGTCCTGGGGACTCCCTTGTTCCCCCTCCTCCACCTCCACCTTCTTTTCTGGGTTTGCCTCCTCCACCACCTCCCCCGTTGTTTGGATGTCCACCTCCACCTCCACCCTCTGCTAATTTATTGGCTCCTCCTCCACTGTTCAGCACTCCTCAGGGTTTAGGGTCACCCCAGGTTTCCAGGGGTCAGCCAGCATTTATAAAGAAGAAGAAAACCATCCGTCTGTTTTGGAATGAGGTACGGCCATTTGAGTGGCAGTGTAAAAACAACAAACGCTGCAGAGAATTCCTGTGGTCGAAACTGGAACCCATTAAGGTGGACACTTCCAAACTGGAGCATCTCTTTGAGTCTAAATCCAAGGAACTGCCTGTCACAAAGGTACAACTCATATTCAGTTTGCTATTATTTTGCTATTGTATTGATATTCATTTTGACTTACATCTAGGTGATTTATGTTGTTTATATGAAAACATTGGAAATTACTGGATGTGTTTCTAGCTTGACCTATGATGGAAGATATTCCATGGCCTGACAGTAGGAGATGAGCCTAGAGTAGTGTATGTGCCAAGTTGCCCGCCTGTCTCAGGTCTACCAGTTGTGGAATATCACTTCAGGTGGTGAATACCAACAAATTTTACATTAGCTTGTTCATAGCTGGGTGCCAAAATAGGTATTGGAACCTGAAATATTTTCTGTTACATTCATATAAAGGTCACAGCATGGTGATTCATATCTGTGTATTTGACAGTTCTTCACTTGGTAATATTTTCCTAATCATTACGTGGAAAGTTAGAATATCATCTGGATCTACTGCAGAGTCTACATATGAGCTTTGTTCTGAAGGATCTAGTTGTCAGCTGTACCAAGTTTGCAGCTAAACTCTGCAGAAGTGTTGGGGTTTGTTTTATACTGGTGAACAGGCCTATTTTAAAGCCTTAATTTGTGCAGCGTGGCTATCCAAATTTTAGGATAGAAGCTGGCACAGGAAATACCTCTGTAGCTAAGATTCTCTCTTCCTCAGCATTGTTGTGAAATAAATTCACAAAGGCTGCTGACATGGCTGTTTACTTTAGAGTCAACAACAAAAGAAATCTTTCTCATAGTTACATTTGGTAGGAATTTGAAGTAGCATTAAAAAAGTTATTAGCTTGAACATTTGCTTTTCATGGCTATATAAACTCCTTTTCTTCTAAGCAGCATAATCATTATCAGGGAAACAATGGTTTTTCCCAGTTAAAATGCTAGTAAAAGATGTCCATCTCTCTTAAAATAAATAAATCACTTGTATGTTTTCTCTGTATGCCTGTAAGTTTTATAGTGACACAGAAATCAATCATCACACTGAACATTTTGCTTCTCTTTAGCTGGAGAAAGTTGTTACATATATTAGATATCATAGGTATTATTGTTTGCTGTTGATCTAGGTAGTCTGGATGTCTCACAGTAAAAGTTCTGTGTGCCATTTGTCTGGGTTATTAACTCAAAATATTCTAATAGTCATTCTTGATCTTCTTGACCAAGTGGAAGCATTGCAATTTCAATAATCAAGCCCCTAAGTACCTACCAAACAACAGGTGCACAAAGAGATGGCTCATGTAGATCCTGCCATCACTGTTCTTAGATTATTTTTTTCTGTGACACAGATGCATGTGGATCTGAAACTTATGGTGGAACAACTTTAAAACTACATTCAACTGATTGTTCATTTGGCTGATGCTGAGATTAATTGCTCTCTCTAATTCCTTTTCTGCTGAGGAAGGAATGCTGGTGATGTCGTGGCGTGCTACTCCTCATCTCCCTGTAAATACAAATCTGCCACAGATGGTTCATAGATGGAAGGAATGAGAGCATTTTCTTAGATCCATAAAACATTTAATTCCTCGAATTGAATGTGGAATGATGACATATTTGCCATTTCCAAAATTCAGCTTTGTGCTGAATGCCAGTATTGTAATGGATCAGTCTGGCTGATTCTTAATCTTTTATTCTTACATTAAATTTTGATAAAATGTTAAATTGTTGGAATTATGACTTGTTTACTTTTCCAGTCATTCATTGTGCACGTTTCCCAAACTACCCTTGGCCATTTTCCCTCCCTCACGCCTGCTTCTCAAACCTGCCTGATGCTTTGGCACAACTTTTGGCTTCTGGCTGGAAGATGAGTGAGCAGGTTTCTTTGAAATTAGTGCAAGTCTGAGGAATGATTTAGGTGGCTGCTTTCCTCTTGGAGACTAATAACTACTCTCTGCATGAGCCATTGTACTTTTGGCTTTCTTTCCACCTCGTCCCATAACACAGACATAGAAGTCTCATTGTCTCTGTAGAGAAGACAATAGGGACCCAGGACTACCATAGTAGAAGTCTACAAAGACTTCTGAGACTCCTGCCTGGTTCTGATGAACACCAGCAAATCTTCCAGAATAGGAGATGGTCCTGAGATCAAGTAAGAGTGGGAATAATTAAACAGACCACTGAATCTGTAAAAGACTTGAGGTTTGGTGCAAAGATTGCACTCAAATTAGGATAGCTCTCTCTTTTTCCAGACTGCTTGGTTTATTTCCAGCAAGTACATTCCCCGTTGTGTCTAGTTTCTCCTGTCCAATGGCTGCAATCCAAAACAGGTTTATTCTATAATATCGTAAAGTCTGACTCACAGCTCAGTTAGTTCAGCTGAAAAAAGAGAGTGCAAAGCAACAAATCAAAAGTCAAATCTCCAGATTTCACAGCAAGACATGGAAGTAGGTGCATGGAAAAGGAACAGTCCAGAAGGATGCAAGGAAAAGCAAAGTCAGGGTGTGTAGGGGGTGGGGGGGGGGCTTGGCTCTATCTTGTGCATATGCTCTTTCATACAGCTGTAACCAATTTTACTCCAGTTTCTAATCCTTCATTGTGATTTCCACAACACACAGCTATAAACAGCTACTTCCTGGCTCATGAGAAGTTTTTCATTAAACACAATAGACTGTAATAAAATAAAGTGGATTTTAAATTGTAGGATATAATACAGGATTTCGGGATTGGGGCTGGGAGAAGAGATTCTTGATTTTAGGAAAACTTATGCCACACTGGGCAACTTGCACATTGATTATAGTTAGTGGAGCACCTTAGTTGCAGAATGTTTATTTCCTAGAATAGAGGAGCGCATCATTATGTTTTCGAGTAGAAAGAGAGTCATCAGGTATCCTCTCCAAGCCAGTCTAGCATTTTCTTCCTTCTCACACCCCCAAACAAAGCAGGTATTTTGGCAAAGTAGTTCAAAGTGCTTATTTTTCTGTGAAAAGAAATTAAAACATGCAAACACTCCTGAATCAAATGTTGTTGTTCAGCCCTTCTGCCATCCACTTGGTCCTGCATGAAAGTATTATTTTGTTGATTCATGTATACCCTGTGGGATGTAGTGATCCATCATGTGCCCACAGACATAAAAACTAGTAGGAAGAATTAAGGTATGTGTTTTCATGTGCATGTGTATATACATGCTTACCCACATATCCCTTTTGAAAAGATTTGTTGCAATTTGAAGAAATGCCAAGACAAGTCATAAATGTGGACCAGAATTTCTGAAAAAGATTGCATATATGTATCCTGGACATAGTCATTGGCAGCTGAGTTTATTGTATTTAAAATCTCCAGGGCTAAATCTTTGCTAATTGAGATAGAAAGTTTTTTTAAAAGCCATCTCACTATTAAGGGACCACTCACTTTTTTCTGTACTACTGATGAAGATTTCTGCAGGTTTAAAGGCAGGAGATATTTCTGGCTTGATGCTCATGTATAATTATTTATTTATATGACCACTTGAAAAGTTACTTAAATTTTCCTGCTTCCGGTATTAGTTAAAGCCAAGACATGTGTTTTAGACTATGTACTCATCGGACTGCAAATCACCTTCTGTGGGGTGGTAACTTTTAAAATAATCTAACTGGACTACCCAGTCTTCAACAGAGGTTAGAGAATCTGGCCAGTTGGGTCTTGTAAAGATCTAGATTCACTGTAATTGTTAATACATTGCAGAAACATTTGTTTCCCACAAATTATACCACCTGATATATTTGTATTTTTGTAATTTCTTTTGTATTTGTATTTATTAATACAGTATTCGGAGGTTCAGAGGTGACATTTCATACTTATACATTAAAATATAAAATCAAGCCCACTAATTCGCTGCTCCCTCAAGCATTTGAAGCCATTCTGTGATAATTGACTTAAAAAGCACAGTCTGAAGTCACCGAATATTGTAATAGAAATTAATAGTTGTAGCTTATTTTAACAGTCAGACACTTACACATGTGCAATTTCATTGCAGACAAAAAGCAATTCTTTTCCTAGCAGTAAGGTAGTAAAGTTCAAAGTAGTAAAATCCTTCTCCTTTCTTCATCCCTGTATTTATTTGGAAAGGATTTCTTTGGAACTCAGCCGTCATCTCCAGAATGTATTTAAAATCTCTTCTGCCCCTGTTTTCGAAAAGAGTTACTTGCCCCAAAATTTTATATCCCATATGCAGTTCTAGCTATGGAAAATACCTATGTGCATCCATCCCCTGTACAGCTCATCTGTCTTTCATAACTCATAGCTAAGGAGCGAGCACACTGTTGAATCGCAATCATCCTGGCGGTTAGCATCGTATGTCCCCCAAATGAATATGTCTCTCTTGTCAAACTTCAGAGCCTAAAAACAGAGCTACAGATTTGAGGCTTACTTACCCATACCACATGTGGGAAGCCTAAATTTAACTCCTTTCCCCTGGCCTTTTCCCTTCTGCATAAATTCTTTGGAGCTGTGTAATTCTGTGCTGCAAAGCACAAGGTAAAAAGTTGTGGTTTAAAAAAGGCTTAGAGCAATACAAACTCAAGAGGAAGCAGTCTCTGGTGAACCCTGTTTGTTTTTAATGTGGTCTTGGCCACTAACTGTGGTCCTGAAAATGTGATTAATGGCCCGGGAAGTAAAAATGACTGCTTTAAAGGAGAAACTGCATCTCACAGCCTTCAGGTAGCTCCCCAAGAAAAAGAGGACTCTCTTACTGAAAGAAGGGAAAGTTCAAGGTGGCTTCAAGGGTACTTTTAAGATACTAAGAAGAGAGCAGTTCTGACAGAACTGACATATAAACATTGAAAACAAATGTTATCTTGGCTCTCCAAAATTTATCCTGCTTACTGCAAAATTGTTTTTTAAGTTTAAAATCTAACCCTCACTACTTTCACAGATCATACACATGTGGTAGTCCCCAACTCCTGTAAACTGCACTTGCCTTCAGTCCCATCTGCCCACAGAAGTTGTATCATACCATTGTTCTGGTATGATGAAAAGTCTGTGGTGTCACACAGGTGCTGGGCAGGCTGTAGGGATCGGTAAGCAGATCTCTTCCTGTGCAAGCAAGGAACTGAGCTATGCCAGAAAAAGGTATCTTTGTAATGATACAACTGCATTCCCATTATGGGCTGACAGTTGGAGGTTCTTTGATGAATTCTTGTTTACTAGCTTAGATCTTCCAAGTCAGAAACAGCTTGTAGGCCTGGCAGTAGGGTACTTTCTGTCTTGGTGGCTGTGGTGAAGACCACAGTGAAGTGAAGAACAAAGCTTCATGGTCTAAAAAACAATTCTGAGCACAGATTGAGACTCAAACAGTAAGTCTCCTCCTAGGCTTTCCTCAAATCCACAAGAGATGCTGTAGACAACACGAATGATTCGCTGGTCTGAACAGTTGTATGGACTGCCACACTGCAGCCTGGAAAGAGGAATTACTTAGTTTCTCTCTTTGCCCCTTTGAGGTACATCTATGCTAAGGTTGCTGCTGCTGGAGCTACTAACCACAGTCCAGGTCTGCATAGAGGTCACAGTCCCATCTTTGCAGGTTTATATACAGTGAAGCATCTCTGCACTTGCATCAGTGTGCAGGACATCTCCCTACATTCATGTGCTTGACAGCATTTCTCAGCCCATCTCTGATAGAGCAGAGGCAGAAGAGCCAGAGAAAATGTGTTTCCAAAGTTCACATATATGGAGAGGGAGTAAAAAACCCTGAGTATGAGGAGTTTGAGTCCTCTCCTATTGCAGCTTCCTTTTATATGACATATGTAGTTACCAAAGAGACACCTCTAGCATGGGATAAAGAGAGAGTGAAAGAGGGACATGCTGGGACGTAGAAACAATGACTACATTCAACACTACGTTATGTATAAATGGTTTATGAGTCACCTTGCATAGCTGGTGCACATTTTACCCCTATTAAGGATGGAGAGAAAGAGGAAGAAATTCCTTGAGTCTACTCTAGAACAGAATTTAAAGCATATGTTGCTAGTGCTCTGTAATTTCATTATTTGTGCTGGAGGTAAGATCCAAAGATATGCCTAGTCTAAAATAAAGCTTTTTAAAAAGCAGAATGATTGAAATTGTTCTGCACCTGTGAAGTACGTGGCAGACATATCATGAGCAGGAAGGTAGAATAACATTCCCCTGGCAGCCAGAGGTTGGAAAACCATGCCAGTGCCTCCAGAAAGACCCTTGCAACTCCTTTGCCAGTGTCTGAGATGGATTTATAACACAGGTGAGTGCTGGCAGTCAGGTGGGAACTGCCCTGTCTGTTTCCCAGCCAGCCACACAAGTGAGAAAGTGTAAGCAGCTGGTCAAGGTTGATGCATCCAATAGGGAATTGAGCCCTGGAGCCCATTGGCTTCCCAACTCCTGCCCCACCAGCCCTGTGCTAGCCAGTCCTGCTGCACAGCAGAGCTCTTGGCTGGAAGAGACAGCCTCAGGTGTTTTTCAGACTGGCTCCTGCCCTGAACTGCCCTTGTGAGGACTCCAGTGTCTCAGTCTAGCTCTGCTTTGCACAGCAGCATTCAGATCTCTGGTTGAATCCTGGAAGCTTGTGTTGATATCAGGAAGGTATCCCTTGAGTGGAGAAAGTCATTAGTGAAAGGAGTCCCTTTTTCTTTAGCAAACAGATCAGATTAATAATGATCTTGTTCTCTTCTTTACCAAGAAAACTGCTGCAGATGGAAAGCGACAGGAGATCATTGTATTGGACTCAAAACGAAGCAATGCTATTAATATTGGCTTGACTGTGTTGCCCCCTCCCCGCACTATCAAGACTGCTATTTTGAATTTTGACGAATATGCCTTAAACAAGGAAGGAATAGAGGTAAGAAAGAATAATCAGTGTCTTCACATTGCGTTTTCAGTGCTTCCTTTTTTTTTTTTTCCCGTTTTGCATATAGAACAGGCCAGAGGTGTCATGGAAGAGTGTGAAAGGGATGTATTATGTCATGTCAGAGTGTTGAAATTTGTCAAATCAGTGCAGTGGACTCAAAATCATGTAGTATCCACCTGAGGCTGGGCATGCTCAGTAAATGTGCATTATCTGCTTTGTTTGTATCTGAGTAGCAATGGTGCTAATTTCTGTCAAGATTTTTAGAGTGCTATCTGAAGCTTGACTGAAATATTGTGAGCAGGGCTAATGCAACTGGTACAGGATTTAATAAATTTCATGCCCAGCTGGCTGTTGCAGTCATTCTAGATTATATATCTAATGGAAAGCAAATACAGTGACTAGTTCTGCTCAAAATAGCATTTCTGTGTTACTGTTGTTTGAAGGAAAGCAGTTGGTATAAAGATTACAGATGATGTAATTTTTACCATTACATGTTTGACTTTGCAGATATTGTTACCAAGATTCAAGATGAGTTCTGTTTATGTTTTTTTTTTATCAAAACATTTTTCTTCTATGAAGTGTAAAAGAAGCCTGTTGCTCCCGTGGGTTTTTTTTATTATGATTGTATGCATTTCCATTTTTTTTTCAATAAACCTATCGTCTAGTAAGAGTAATCTGCACAGCTACAAATCTCAACCAGTACCTGAGCTGCAGAGGTCATATATTGATTCACAGTCACCTTTTAGTGGTTTGGCACTGTGCTTCATGACTTCCCCCTTTCCACCTTCACCTTGCTGACTACAAAAGAAAATGAGAAAAGCTTCTGGAATGGAAATGGAATTGGCAACAGTTAGATGCAAAAGAAATGCTTAAGGCAAAAGATGGTTCTAGCTAGAAGGCAAGGTCTGATTTATCTGTGGAATATAGATTCTTCCCAAAGCTATTTTACCTATTTGCTGTATACATGCTTTAGTCATATTATGAAAGTGACAGATCAGTCTAAAAAAGTAACTTTTTGTGACCCAGCCTATGTACCCACCATTGCAGTCTGCAGTACTAAGCTTTAAAGTGTTAGGGAGAAGTACCCCTCCAGCCATGCCCAACTCACATACCCTCAGTTAGATCTCAGTGCTGTAGGCAGTGTTTCCATACAAAGTCCAACATTAAATGGGTGATTAGGAGGGACACATCCTCATTAACTTCTATATATCATCTCCTTAGAATTGTGTTCTTCTCTGACTTGCTTAACAAAAGTTCAGATGCTCTTCACAGCCCACCCTTTCTACTGCCAACGTTTGTCACTGGGCTGTCCATCTGCCAACCACCTGTGGTGTCCACAGTTTTGAGTGCCTTATACCACCACACCCTCCTTTGGGTGGCCTTTCCATTAGCTGCCAGAAACCCATAATTTAAGTTTAAATATATATGCAGGTAGCTTTCAAATTGAAGAATTCAAGAAACCAGGAAATGATATACTGTTAATAAACTTGCCCAGTCCTAAAGAAAAAGGGATTTCTGAGGTCTATGTCCAAGGTTTGATGCTAAGGATATGAACCTTTCAAGAGAAAGGTTAAATGGAGCAGAGCCCAGGTACTTTGAGGGATGAAGCCTTCATTGGTTGTGAAGGATCATGTTCTTGGAGAAAAGGTAGAATATAAATACTCTACATGGATTTCAAATACCCTTTCCCAATCGCCAAGTTACAGATTTTTCTTAGAGCACATTGTTACAGAGTCAGACAGATGTTTATAGTGATATAGAAGGCTGGATAAAGCTATGCAGAATTGACCAGGACACACACAGGTTGATACAGAAATCACAGAATCATATAATTATAGAATGTAAAGGGGTTGGAATGGACCTTAAAGATCATCTAGTCCCAACCCACTGCCATAGGCAGGGACACCTCCCACTAGACCAGATTGTTCAAGGCCTTTTCT